GTGGAACACTGCCACATCAACTCACATGATCCCTGCATTGAGCGGGGAGTGATGGGGCTGACAAAGATTTTCCTTTCTGCTCTCCACAAATCAAGGAAAGAATGCAAGTGAATCGTATTCAATGCCTCTGACAAAGTCCATTGACTTGACGAAGATTAGATCCAAGTGACGGTACTTGACCAAGCATGAACCTGGTTGGCCGGTCAATAAATTGATGTAAGGGAACATATAGAGTTAGGTACAGAAGCTCAATAGCAAAGCTCCTTGAAGTAGCATCACAAAAGAAATGTTGCCAGTCAACATTAGGAAGACTGAAGTCCCTCATCAGTTATTCGTTGAGTGAGGACGGATGAAATCAACCAGACATTTTGCAACATTATCGGGGTTTCTAGAAGTTAGCACAACTTTAAGTTGTGCATTGGATACGCAAATTAATCGCGAGTGCCTCGACGGAACTGTCTGGAGAACGGAATGTATACGTTTTGAAAATAGTTAAAGCAACGTACAAAGCAAGGCAACCGCCGCGACAAGCGGAAGCGCGGTCGCGCCTCAGCAGTAGGTAGCCTGGTAAGCCAGCTTCACGGTTGGTTACGTCAAACAACCACGTGAGAGTATCTGGACGATCATCGAAATTGGCACCGACCTTACACTTGTTTTGCGGGATACACACATTGCCGAGTATCATCGTAAAGAATTTGGTATCGTGAGCCGCGGGTCGTGCGCTACCAGAACGGGAACTGGTAGGGCGGAGATGTACCGTCGGCTTACCAACTGAAAACCCACTAAATGAAGATCTTACTCCCGCTTCTCGAGGGAATTAAGGTCCCTAACAGCTTCCCACAATTACAACTTATGCGCCAAAGATCTGGTTGTACAACACCAGTGCCTTTGAGTTTAAAGGCGAATCGCAGATGAGCTTGGTGTTCTTCTGGTGGAGACAGAACAACTCGCAGTAGGCGAGGTCGGTTGGGTCCGTCGACTGGCAAGCTAGCAAGTCTAGTAAGTTCTCGCACAGTAACCCGGCGGCAGTAGCTTAGTAAGGCCAACTTTGAACCACTGCAGGTCATCTAGCATACGATCTCACGGGAGAGCGACAGAGGACTTAGTACAATTGGGGTTCGAGTCACCGCGACGCGGGGTATTCACAGCACGCGACTTAGGTGATAGCGATTTCGCATCCGCTTTTTATAGACGCTAAGGTCGTACTGGACTCTAGCTGCGAAGATGGGAAGGGCAGGAATTAAGTTGGGGGGGGCAATGGACAAGGGGGAAGGAAAGTATGCTTTATTTGCCTTTGAATCAACCATCTTACCTCGGTTCAGTTTTTTTGACAATCGTAGAAGTCTGCGCTTCACTCTCATTAACAGCTGAATCAAAGATGCTATCCGATTGCTCAATATTAACTGGCACAATACGAGTAGGCTGAGAACATGTCGGGGTTTCCAGGACTGTAAGGTTACCCAGATCCCCCATTGTATCGTTACTGAGTAAGCCTGAGCTAGCCAGCCGCTTCCCAATCCAAACGACTTTTCTTTCTAAAAAAAAAAGTCGGTAGAGACGAAACCACCCAAAGAAACGTGTCCTTTGTCAGTGAGCAGCGCACATGCCTACATTTTAAGCAATCGCTATGGCTGTGGAGAAAATTCTCATTACTAGCTAGGAGTGCATTATGCTTCAAACCCCAGCCAGTACATGACTCATGGGACCACCGAGTATAGATGTCCAACTGCATGCCTCCCGACGACTCGGTAACTGCTTTGAGACATCCACTTTGCCACAACCACCGTGACGATGGAAAGAAGATCCGGGGATCCAGGAACTTCCTTTTCGACCATCGTAACAGGAGGTAACCAAGAAGTGAATCGAGCAAATATGAAATAAGAGAAGCGTGAACAGGTTGACGGTAACAAACTATGCAGTCGATGAGAGCGTTAGTCGCGACACTTGGGCTGATATCTATTCACTCGATCGCACAAGGTGGGAGCTGGTAGGCTAGGCCTTTGGCAGCGAGTCGTCTAGTCACATGTTCAGTTTAATGTTATTCAAACAATATTCCCAGCAAAGGCTTTCAATAACACGAAAATCGACAAAGTCCGGTTAGCTGCCGGGTTTTCACAACGCACTGCAAAACATTACGCTTGTTTTGATCGAACGAAGTATAAATATGAAACAGTGAATCCAATAAACTGGACATCTTCAAGCTCTTATGAATCCAACACTTGTCACACAAAGCTTAAAAGAAAAGCACACGCCAGCTGGGTCGAGAGTGACACAAAGTAACTCGGGCGGGAGTGCACAAGTTAACGGTCTTGATGACCTCGACCTAAAAACTGTTGGAACGAAATAAATGGTACATGCTTTGCCCTTTTGGAATATGCATCTAAAGTCAAGGGCAAAGGTAGCATATTCAAATGGGACAGGAACAAAAGGAAATTTGCATGGTCGCCCCATCTTGTATGCGTTGTAGATCCACGATAAAATGCTGTGGAAGCATTATGCAGTTGCGGGAGCCAACTCAGCACGTACAAATCAAATCATTGTCAACCAATCAAAACCACAAGTGCCCTGCGCTAGCAATCGCCGCTGCGCCGGCCGCGTGAAAGAGGAAAAATTGCAGACTAGATATAGAGCGGGTGTACGAAAGCGGACAATGAAGAAGCTAGTGCGAGTGAATAAAAAAGGAAGACGGCTGGAGAGTAAACAGAAATGAAATTGAGAATAGAAGATTCGGAGCTACAAGTTGAGGGCGTCAAGGTGACGTTTAAACTGTCACCGTGGATGACAAGACTACGTCCTCAGGTAACGCGTTCCAAAAATCTATCACTCGGCGTAACAAACGAGTGTCAGCCCGAACCCGATCAGATTTGTGTTTGTACAATTTCGTTGGATGCCCGCGGAGAGTAGTTAACTATGTAGGGTGAAAACGCCGAGAAAGGTACGGACCTACCCGTCTGTCAGCATACGATAAGTGAGAATTGGGTCGCCACGAAAAGGAGGATAATGTAACGAAAACATTCTTAGTTTGAGCAAGCTGTCAGGATAGCACAGGTGCCGCAACCCTTGGAGGACTTTGGTTCAGATTCTCAAGACCCGCTCTACGATCATCCTGCCACAAGTCAAGCAAGGAGGACAAGCCTGGACGCAATACTCCAGGAGCTGTCTAACAAAGGCCATAAACAATTTAACAAACATTTCCGTTAAGATACCAAATGTTCTACGGGTCATCCAAAGGGTTCGAAAACCCCTGCAAGACGCTTTACGTGTATTACAGGATGCTTTGGGGCGACTCGGTAATCACATATCGCATACTGATGGGTCAGATTGGTCCTGATTTGACTGGACTGTTTCGCCCAAATCGAGCGCCAACCCTTCGTGGCCACTCAGTAGTTGCACAAACCCCGGTCTGACGGGGTTTGGGCAGCTTTCCGGTTATCGCGTAGGGCCACAGCTTAGTTGAACCACCGCCTGCAGACGTCGTGATGGCACCGAGGGTGAAAGAATTCGAGCATTGACTTGACGCTCCCGGTCCGCAGTTTAAAGTCTTCCCCTTCATACCTCAAGCTTTACTCGTCTACTACGGCCTACGCCTCTTTAACTCAGTTCAACTTACATCTTAAGATTGCCCACGAAATTCTTTTATTCTTCACGTGGTCCGCACAGCTGGGACTACTAGTGCAGGGCACGTGGGTAATGTTTGGTTGACGGTGTGAATCGTGTGTTGATTTGGCTCTCCTTTGGAACAACAATGAACCGGATTCCCTATTGGATCAACGACGTTTTCGAAGGTGGAATATCCACGGGATTTTCCTACTGTTCCGGTCCCACTTGAACTCCTAGTTCTGGCTGGATTTAAAGTCCTGAAACAAATTGATCCCTAAGTCAATTTGCTGGGATACGTGTCTCATTATCGCCAAGCATGTTGTGCGTTAGCGAACCACTTGATGCCACGCGCAAAACTGAACACGCTGTTTATTTGGCATCCTCCATAGAACGGACCAATCAAGGAGTCTGTCAAGAACCTGTTGCAGAACTTAGAAGCCATCGGGGTCACTCACTGCACACAAATTCGTCGGCGAACATGAGGGCATGCAGCCACAGTACTTGTTAGTTCATTTACATACATAGCAAATACAAGTGGACCAAGAACTGATTCCTGCGGGACACCGCTCAGAACTACCTGTCGGAAAGACTGGAGTCCTCCGAAAGGCGGATAGTCATAGAAGCGCGTGCTCGGAAGCTCCATAGGAACGGAGCTAAAGGGAAAGTCGAGTACGCAAGACAAAGGTTTTGGAAAAGTCGACGAATAGCACATCCAGTGATTGATCCCCGCCGACAGACTCCACCCAACTTACGCGAGCAACCATTGTTGGTCAAGCAGCAGTACTCTTTGCGAAAACCATATTGAGATGAGCTGAGAAGGCCAAACATAACTAAGTGATTTTCGTGGTCATTCCTCACCAGCTGTCATAGCAACTTAACCAGAACAGGCCTGTAGTTTACAGGAAAATGTTTATCTCCCTTTTTAAAGATGTGGCAAACTACAGCTTCCGTCCAGAGCTTTTTCAAACGCTGACATAGTGGATACTTACAAGCCCGTTTCGATCACAAAATTCCGAGAAAGAAAGCTCGAGTGGTGAGCGCGGCGTCTCAGAACACGACAGGCACGCCGAGAAAAAGACACGAAAGTGTTACGACTTCGGCGTCCTTTTAAATCACAAGAAAATTGACAAAAACCAGATCTGTGTGTGGTGTTATTCAAATACCGTATCAAAACAGATCTTTGGAAGATTCTCGAACGGTGTAACACGACCACCACGCCGCGACGTCACGTAACAAATGCGAGCACCATAACCTTAATAGAAACATGCGATCGCCTTAAAGGTACGGTTATTGTATTAGTCTGAGTGTACATTCGACATAAATTGGAAGGTGTAGCACTGATATTTCAGACGGTCACACAAGATAACAAAGATGCAGGAAAACGATTGTTACATGCTTACCAGTAACTTCCAGACCCTCAGATGCTAAAATTAACGACGAATATACGCAGGCTAACTCTGATTTCGACATTATTAGGACGTGAGCCGCAGAAAGCTTTAGCCACGAGGGAGCAACACGCCACTGAGGGTCAATGCAATTAAACAACGGAGCACGATGCGATGAAGGGAAAAACGGCGCATATTGTGACATCAAATAATTGTCGAGTTCTAATATTTTCAGTATTAGTTATTATTTTTAGTACGATTGCTTTTGTACTATCGTTTTTTTTCAAGAATTGCAGTCTAATCAATTAAGGTTATTTCGTCTATGTAGATATAGTATCAATTTATTACACAAACAGTGCAAACGATAAATGCATTATAATATTAGGAAAGGGTAGAAAAGCAAATAAATTTTTGTGTTTCCCTGACGCCTCAACGCAATTTCAGCTGCAATAACGTGGTTTCAGCTGAACTAACGTGGTTTCAGCTGAAATAACGTGGAAAACAGTGTTTGAATAAACACTTGAAACGAAATTTGACTATTGTCAAATTTTCTCTGATCCAAGAAATCTTGGATCGATTAAATTGGTACTGGCCCAAGCGTCTTTGACGCTTACTGGTAATTTTTCCGGTTGTTCCCAGTTTTAATCCCGTTTTACACCCTGTTTTTGCCTTTTTATTGCGGTCGTTTTCCTATTGTATACGTGTTGTTATTCTAATCTGTTTTCCACATGAACATGGCTGTCTCGCTAAACACCGAGACGGATGGACCTATGGGGTCCTCGTTTGATGAGTCTACTGCAGCTTGCGGACAGGTTAACTGTTCAGAGCCAGTAACAGATGCATCTGGTGGTATGCAGTGTGACGTCTGCTGCCGCTGGTATCACGAAAGCTGTACCGGCCTACAAGCCGACCAGTACCAAATGCTATCATCAAGCGTCCACTTTCTTTTCAGCTGCGCTGAATGCTGCGCTAAAAGATCGACGCGCCCGGCTGTCACCGGTGCTAAACTTTCAGCGTTGGCTTCAAGGTTGGCAGATGTTGAGTTGGCGATAGCTAAACTCGCCTCTATTGCGTCGCAGGATACGAAAATGGATTAGATTTTAAAATCCCTAAATATTTCGTTTGAAGACACAGCAATAGCCGGCAACATTGCTGACGATCCATCTACTGGAGTCTCTCACTCGATCATAAAGTCGCACATCCTACCGGCCAATCCAGGTAGCATTGCTGGCGGTCCTCATGATCCGATCAATGTGAAGAAAAATAGGGTGCGGAAATACCAAAAGCCCTCTGCTAAACCCAGAGAAATAGTTGCCACGGCATCAAACGAGATGCCGTCTTTGACAGTCGTAAAGTCGTCTGAAGATTGCACACAGAACTTTCCACAGACGCTGACTGTCTCGGCCGCCAGTGAACCAGCCTGTTCTGACGAAATGCTGGTAACTGCCCAATGCGATACAAAGTCAACAGCCCCTGCTCCAGTGAGCCAAAAGAAGAAGCGGACAAGGTCTGCTCGTAAAACTTCGAAGGGGCTTGAAGACCCTGGAACCAGTAAGACGCCGGCAATAGAGCGGAAAACCTACGCTACCGTTGCTTCGGCGTCGTTTGGGAAGCCAGCGACAGTCCCACCGCCAGTGGTAAAAACAGCTTGTATAGGTGTCGAATCAAAGGCACGTGGGGTAAACACTCCCCGTCGTGCCGACTCTTTCACGGATAGTAGCGTTATATTCCGTAACGTTACTGAATCTGAGGCTGTTCTCCCAAGGGAACGCATCTTGGATGACATCAAGTGGCTGAAACTGTGTCAGCAAGCTGCTTCCACCTGGTTTCCCTGGTGTCACTGTCAGAAAGCTGACCAGATTGGGGAACGTTCCTATCGCTACGCCAAATCCACGACCCCGACTACTTCGCGTAGTCCTTTCTACCCCGGAGGAACGCAAATCGTTACTGCGATTTGCATTCAAACTTAAGGGTAGTGGTGTCAGTGTTCAGCCGGACCTCCCACTGGCAGATAGGTTGAAGTTAAAGGAGGCTATCAAAGACCTCAAAACTAGACGGGCGGCTGGTGAACAAGGCCTCCGTCTGGTGGGTTTTCAGGTGGTCAGCCGGAAATTACTTTCCGCCCTATCAGAACCAATCCTGATGGCGCACGACCCAGGGATGGTCGTGCCGACTTCCTTGAGGTAGTACTTAGCAACGTGCGTAGCCTAAGGAACAAGGTGCACGAGTTGGGTCTACTTGTAGACAAATCTCGTCCCGACATACTTGCTTTCACTGAGACGTGGTTGTCTCCGGATATCACGGACGGTGAGGTATATTTACCTGGCTACGCGCTGCTTAGAACTGATCGCTCCGTTGGTCGCCAAGGCGGAGGCGTTGTACTGTATGTGAGCTGTAACTTAGATGTGTTGAGGACTTGCACATTCCAGTCGTCGGATCAGACTGTTGAATCCCTATCGGCTGTTTTGTGCACTTCCTCTACCCAGTTTACAGTTATAGTGGTATACAGAAGTCCTGGAAGTTCCTCCAGGGGGATACTTGACTTTATTCGCACTCAGTCTGCGAATAAGTGTTTAGTTCTAGGGGATTTCAACCTCCCGGAAGTCTGTTGGGCCGATCTTTCTTGCAATTCGGCATTAGGAACATTCGGTGCAGACTTCCTTGAACTGACTCTCCAAGTGCCTTTGCACCAGTTCGTTGACTTTCCCACTAGGTATATGGATAACCAAATGCCATCTACTTTGGATTTGGTTTTCGCTAAGTCCCTGGACTTCGTGACTGACGTTTCATGCGGTGCACCTCTAGGGTCCAGCGATCACGCATGCATATCCTTTCGATGTGCTCTTTCAAGGCACCAAGAGACCGCTGTTGAATTACTTCCGAATATTTGGCGGGCGGACTTTAGTGCAATGCGAACTAAGGCTTCAGTTCTGAACTGTGAGATTTCGATGGCTGACTCTGTCCAGTTAGCCTGGCATAAATTTAAGGCATACCTTACGGAGGTTTCCGCATCCTATATTCCACTCATTAGGAAAAGAGGGTTAAGGGCACAGCCTCCATGGATAGATACCACAGGCAAGTACTTACTCAAGAAACGGTCTAGATGCTGGCGAACCTACCAAGCAGCTCCATCAGCCAGTACCTATGATAGTTATCGAGAGAATAGAAATAAATGTAAGCAACCTCTCAGAACTGCTCGTCTCCAATACGAGCAGGGTTTAGCGGACTCGGCCGCAGCTAATCCCAAGAAGTATTTTGCTTACGTTAAAAGACGCAGCGGGGCAAAATTGTCTATACCAGCTTTATTGCGAGCAGACGGGACCCCTGCGCAAACTGACTATGACAAGGCTTGTATACTGAGTGATCAGTATACTGCCGTCTTTGCTCGGGAGACCTCTTTACCGCAGGTTGAATTGGTTTCAAGAGTTCCAGAGGATTCTTGCTTAGCTGAATTTAGCATAACGGAGACTCAGGTCTTCGAGCTACTGCAAGGCATTAATCCCTCTAAAGCTTCCGGTCCTGATTCAATTCATCCGAAGCTGTTGCATGAACTGGCCACTGAGCTGAGTGGTCCGCTCACGTGCGTATTTTCAATATCGCTGGACAGCTGCAGCCTACCTTTGGAATGGAAGGAGGCAATCATCTGTCCGATTTTTAAGGGCGGTGACAGCGCTCTACCCGCGAACTACCGGCCTGTCAGTTTGACAAGCGTAGTAGTCAAGTTGTTCGAGAAGCTGATAAGGGATTCAGTGGAGAACCACCTGAATCGATTCAACCTTCTCAGTGTTGCACAACATGGATTCCGCAAAGGATTTTCATGTCAGACTAATTTACTTGTAGCTCGTGAAAGCTGGGCCGAAGCGGTAGACAGTGGCCACGCTGTAGACGTGCTATTCGTAGATTTTTCGAAAGCTTTTGACACTGTTCCACATCTTCGGCTCTCACTAAAGTTGAGATCTTACGGGATATCTGGTCGCGCCCTTCAATGGGTGTCTGCCTTCCTTGAGGGGAGGGGAACAGTGCGTACGGGTGGGGCGTAGCCTTTCGCTCAGGCAAGCTGTCCTTAGTGGCGTTCCGCAGGGCTCGGTATTGGGGCCATTGTTGTTCGCGATCTATGTAAATGACTTGCCGGGAGAGCTAGGGGTGTCATCATTAATGTTTGCTGACGACCTTAAGCTCTGGAATATTGTGGATATCCCGGGGGGTCCTGAGGCAATTCAGCGTGCCTTGGATAGACTCTGGGAATGGTCTATCTTATGGTTGATGCCCATAAATAGGGCCAAGTGCTCTGTTCTCCGAATCGGAGCTGCAAATCCTCCCACCCGATATGTCCTCGGCGGTGGTGAACTCCCTGTTGTCACTCAGCAGGTTGATTTAGGAGTCGTACACGCATCAGCACTTCATTCTGGAGACAACTGGAAGAAGGCTGCTTGTCGAGGGTTTCGTATGATGTGGTTTATCCGCCGCTCTTTCGGAATCTTAACGGCCAAGTTGTTTGTGAAGCTATTTCGGCATTCGTCCGACCCCACCTGGAATATTGTATTCAGGCTTGTCCACCATGTCTTAACCGAGACAAAATGGACTTGGAGAGGGTGTTACGAGTGGGCACTCGGTTAGTGCAGGGTCTACGGGGACAGACGTATCCTGAACGCTTGCTCAGTTTGGGTATGTACTCCATGCACTACCGAAGGATAAGAGGGGACCTGATTCTCACTTATCGTATTTTGACGGGTAAGATTGGCCCGGACTTGTCAGGGCTTTTTAGTCCCGCTACGTTACCTAGTCTCCGCGGTCACCCACTGAAACTGCATAAACCACGGTCTGATAGGATTAGGACGGAAACTCGTCTATCGCGCCGAGTTATAGATCGCTGGAATTCTCTTCCAGATCACGTGGTTAGGGAACCTACGGTTAAGGGTTTTGCGCGCCAGCTCGATGCTCTTGGGTGGCAACAGCAAACCTTTCCTTTTTCCTAGCTGACTCACCTTCATTTTTCAGTTCTTTTTTATTGACTCAAATATCTTGGTATTCCACTTGCTTAGTTCTTACCACTTTCTCTTTTGCCTCCTGCGTTTACTTTTTTCTCTTTCTTACTTCACGTAACCGACCCAGCAGGGACTGCTAGGGCAGGATACGTGGGCATTAATTGGTTGGACAGGGTGTGATGCGGTCTTTGTTTTAGGTCCATCAGTATTTCAAAGTTCGCCAACTCCTGGTTCAACGACCCGCCGAAGAAGGAACACTCACGGGATCTATCCTATCGTTCCAGTCCCGCTTGAACTTGAACTTGAACCCTCCCCAAATTATCAGCAAACCACTTTGGTTAGAATCCCGG